AATGGTCCTCACTTGTCCCTTCACTGTAGAGTCTGCTCCTGGACCTCAGTGTGTACCATGTCTGTGTAGCGGCTCCGCAGTTGAGAATGGTCCTCACTTGTCCCTTCACTGTAGAGTCTGCTCCTGGACCTCAGTGTGCACTGCATTTCAGATGCAACTCTGTGGCTGCCTCCTGCATTATGCTCTCTTCAGTGCCCTCTTTGTAGAAACTATGGAAATATTCTTAGACAACCATAGTCTTATTGCATTTTTTTTTCATATTTCTGATTACTTCTTCACAGGTTTGATCATGTCCCCAGTAAAGCGTGAGCCTGAACTTGCCAGAATATGTCTGTTTTGCTATTTCCACAATTTACAATCGTCATAAATATATTTATGAGAAATTGCTGCCTCATTGATAATTCTTAGTGTTGCTTTTGTAACACAGTGACAAATTTCAGATTCGCTCATGCCTGGAGCTCAGCAGCTCTGCCAAAACAGCTCAGAAGTATAAATTCAGATCTATGGCACCATTTCAGGCAGGCAAAAGCATTTGTTGGGCCCAACATGATTTTAAGCACTAACATCACTGCTAGGTTAGGATAGGACTCATAACTAGCCATGTTGTCTGAGTTCCAGATTTCCCTGTTGTGGAGTAAAGGTCTTCCTGGAAAGGCTTTTGGGGAACTGGACCACGTGCACACGAGTGGTTCAGCAGCAGAGAGAGCGCCTTAGACAAGGGCCAGGACCAAGGACAGCACCCTGACCTCCGACAGATCCCTTAGGCTGGAGTCAGTACCAAGGACAGCACCCCATGCTGATGGTGGCACCAAGGACGCCATTAACCCACTACAAACATCACAGAGAACAGTGCCTTCAGAATGACCTTAGTAATGGCAGCAGAGTACAGGAGACTCAGGGGAGTGGTCTCTTTCCGTTGCTACTCAAACTCACACTTGGTGTCCCTTTGTCTTCTAGGTGCCTGCATTTCCCTGGACAAATTTATGTGTTACTAAATACACTAATGAAGTAATACCTCCTTTTCTCGTGGGGGATGGGGGATCAGGGAAGGGCATAAGGATCAGGACAGTCAAGGCTTCCACAACACAGACCTGAACTTCTGAAGATGCGGAAATGAGTGTACACACGGACCTACAGAGCAAGGTGTCCTGACCCAAGGCAGCAACAGAAGATGGACACACTACCCGGTGGACAACTCTGTGAGGTGTTAGTGCTGACCCGACTATGACTCAATGCGATTGCAGGGAAGATTTCTCCACTTCCTATCCATGCTAATGGCAAGAGGCAGTTTTAAAGCCAGTTTGGGGTTTTTCCTTATTCATATATTTTTAAAATCTTAAAACACATTCAGTCAGCATGCACACTTGCATACATACTGTGCTCTGCTCTTAATTCTCTTCCGCTGTCATCCCCATACCTTCTCCCTTGGCTAGTGCCCTTCCTCCCCTGAAATCCTTACTCTTGCTTTCATATCACATATTATACACACGTGTGTAATTAAATACACCTTTGCATATGATAAAACATGCAACGTCATGCCTCTCTCCCCCAACACCGCCCTCTTTGTATTTCCCTACTGGCCAAGGACCAGGCTAGGTACCTTAAAAAACAGTAATAACAATGAAAATTCAAAATGTTACAGCAAACAGGGCCATTAATCAAGGAAAAGAGTAAACATTTCCCACAGTTCCATCAATATAAAATAGCCACTATTAAAACTTAGAATATTTAAAATTTGAATTTGCTCACATGGTTGGAATGTATTTCTCTCCTATCAAGCAATATCCACTCACATACTTAATAGCCTGACTGTAACGTATGAAGAACATTTCATCCTAAGAATATACCACAGAGAGCCAATTTCAAATGTAGAGTACTTAGATTTATAACTTGAAGCTCAAATGAGAATAGCTTGATACAGTTTTTTCCCCTCCCACATCTTAGAGAATGAAGAAAAGTTGGCTCAGGCTTCCAATTACAAGACCCACGACAGTCAAAAGCCCGCCTGCAAGAAGCAAAGCCCCTCCAGGCAACACTTTCTCATCATCTGCCTGTCCCTGGCTACAGAATCTGTTCCTCCTTTGTACTTTGTCAGTCAGATGCTGATCATTACTTATGCCACACTAAAGGGTGGAGTGACTTCAATGGGCAGTGGTGGAGCAGGTGTCAGATCATGTCTGGCTCAGTCTTTGCCATTATGGCTTCCCGTTCTCTCCTCCTACATCTTGATAAATTGTCCTCAACATTAAAATAAATGTGTTCCTACCAAGATTCACACCCTTGGCCACTCCAACAAGTATATCACGTAAGTGGGAAACCAGCTTCCTGTTCAGAGTTCCCAACGACAAGAGGCCAGAATGAGGTACGTGGAGAGTGGTCCCTGTGGTCTGACAGAACACAAAACATGACTGACAGTTTGGGCATGAGTATTGCATTCGAAAGACAATGATGAACAACACACACTACAGTACCAGCTACCCCTGATGGTTATAGGAGAAAGGAAAATGTTCCATGATACAACTGACCTTAAAAAAATTACATCTCCCCACCCCCAAAATCACCTTGCACAAAAACTATCCATCATCTTGCACAAAAACTAACTCCAAATAGATCACAGACCTAATGTGAAGCCTGAAACGCTGAAGCTGGTAGAAGACACAGTGCACTCCAGGATACGTGCACAGGAAAGGCTTTCTGAACAGAGCCCCATTTGCCGAGGAACTAAGCCAACAACTGACAGTGGGACTTCATGAAACTAAAACACTTCTGTACAGCTAAAGAAATAATTGAATGAAGACGCTCACAAAATAGTAATCTTCCCCAGCTATATATCTGACAGAGGATGAATATCCAGAATGCACAAAGAACTAAAAAACAAAGAGTCAAAGAGACAAATAGCCCCATAAAAACTGGGCTTTGGATCTAAACAGAGAGTTCTCAATCGAAGAAATAAAAATGGCTTAGAAATACCTCAAAAAATGTTCATCATCCATAACAATTAGGAAAATGCAAATCAAAACAATTTTGAGATTCATCTAACTCCAGTCAGAACGGCAAAGATGAACAAAACAACAGACAACGGATGCTGGCAAGGGAACAGGGAAAAGTGTCCCTTCGTTCACTGGTGGTGGAACTGGGAACTGGTGTAGGCACTCTGCAAATCAGGATGGAGAACTCTCAAAAAAGCTACAAATAAATCTACCGCATTACCCAGACATGCCACGCCTTGGCATCTTCCCCAAGGACTTGACATCCAGATACTTGCTCTGCCATGTTCCTTACTTCCCCGTTCACAATAGGTAGGCAATGAAACGTCAACAGATGAATGAAGAACGAAAATGTGACACACACACACACACATGCACACACACACACACACGCACGCACGCACACACACACACACAATAAGATTTTCTTTAGCTGTAAAGAAAAGTGAAACCATGAAGTGTGTAGTTTAACGGCTAGAACTAGAAAAGGTCGTATTGAGTGAAGTAACCCAGACCCAGACAGACGAAAGCCCCAGGACCTCTCCTGTCCGTGGTTCCTGCTCCGAGTCTTCAGATGAGGGCATAGAACCTGGAAGACCTTCAGAACCCAGGAGAGGAAAGGGGCAATAGAGAGGGGGATAGCAAGGTACAAGATTTTAAGGGGAAATAAGGGGAACTTGGGGGGCTTTAATCTGATAGAGAGGAGGAAGGATGGTAAAATAACTGTAAGGATGTCTGAGAAAGTATAGGGAATCGTATTATCTTTTTACCTAAAATTATATATAATGCATATAAGTCTATACGTCTATACAAAGACAGAGAGAGAAAGAGAGGGAGGGGTGGGGGAAGGGGAGGGAGGGAGGGAGGGAGGGAGAGAGAGAGAGAGAGAGAGAGAGGGAGAGAGAGAGAGAGAGAGAAAGAGAAAGAAAAAGTGCATTTAAATGAAATTTTCCCATCTGGGCTGATAATGTTCCCCCAAGATCCAAGGACTATCTGCCAAAACCCTACAACACCAGGTATGAAAAGTCCTCTTCTGAATTATTGGTTGGGGCTGCCTAAGAGACTTCCAAAACATCATAGGCCACTGCTATTGCCCTTGACTGCCTCCCTGAAGTGGTGGGTTAAGTCTCAATTGCTGAAGATACTATGCACTTTGGACCCAGAACCCAAAGGACCTGTGCTGGAACCGACCTGAAAGCCTCCTCCCTGAAGACAAGCTTTCATGGTACCAGAGGATTGGTGGGAAGAAAGCAATAGTCTGCTGAGCTATGGCACCTATGAACCATGCCAACCACCATGGCACTATAACCCTAAGGGTGCAGCAATGGCACAACACTTAGGTGGTACCCAACAGCTCTCTAACTGGTCTTATGACCCACTCAGTAAAAGGGACACCTATTCAACTATCTGGTACAAGAGACGTCATGGATCAGGGAGAAGAACCTACAACTACCACCTCACTAAACCAGCACAATCCCTAAGTACATTCTAAATATGTTTCCCCTCCTGTGGCTGTACACCATGTGGTCTGGCACATGCCGTCCGAGGAACTGTCCCCTAGTTGACACTGCTGCACTGTGTGAGAACTGGAGTTGTTGCGGCTCTCACTGTGGGCTTCCTGCTGCCCACTTTTCCAGGATAAACTTTTGCCAAAGAGCAATGCACAAGGAACATCAGCTGAGTCAATGGAAGCCACATTGGTACCAAAGGGGCTGTCGGGAGTCAGCGTAATGACTGTGGATACTAACAGTTCTCACTGTAGCTGAGCCCAAACCTACTCATATCACAATGTGCAAATGAGCCCAACAGAGACTACATGGTGGCCTCTGTGTGGCTGGGAAGCTCTAAGCCCATTGGCCCTCCATCGAATCAGCTGACTCACGCTGAATGAGTAGAGAATGAGGCTGTCCTGCTGAACTGCTGTCAAGACTTGAAGTGTGTTCTCCACAGAGGCCCCAGGCTAAGGGGACACACGCCCAGAGTTAAGTGCAGGGAAATACAATCCGTCCTTACCTGCCAGCCTGTGAACATGTGTGTGCTGTACGGCCTCTGGGGTCCCATTCTCAGGTGGTGTCTCCAAAGCAGCAGGCTGAGGTGTTCCCTTATCTCGGCCACTTGAAACATCAGGAAAAAGCCTCTTCAGCACTTTTTCAGTAAACACTACAAAGGCAGCAGATCAACAACAGAAATGATTTACTACATTTACTTAAATTGCATATGGCTTCCACTCAGAACAAAGGCATCCTTACTACCCAGAAGCCAGGCGACTGGCTCCAGCTCAGAGAATGCTTAGGCCCATACTCTCAGGCCACTATGCCGACACTGCGTGGCATGCAATCTCCCAAAGCTCACAGTTCAAATGGACTCCCATGCTCTGCCCCTCAGTGACCCCACACAGGCCCCGCCCTCAGAGGATGATCCACTTTGTGTCTGTCTCAAGGCCTTCTCAATCTCAAGGCCCCGCCTCTCAGAGAGGGGAGGATCCTCGGCCTGCCGGGGGGCCAAGAGCACTCAGGGCTTTACCTGTCACTGCACCTGGAGCAGGCACCTGGGCTACATACATGACCCCGCTTTTCCCTGATGGGGGTCGGTGCTACAGTGCATTTCTCCCCCTGAGCAGTCAATGAGCCACCCCACAGTGGAACTGGCATCAGGTTCCAGAAACCAGCTAAACTGGACAGTTGTCCTATAGTCCGAGGTGTGACAGATCAGCTGTGCGACCAGCAGGTCATGGAAGGGCATACACTCTGTCTAGGTGGAAACTCCGCCTCAGCTCTCACTCCTCCCATTCCAGACCCCGCCCCTCAGAGTCAGCCAAGTGTTAGTTCCTCCCCCAGAGATGCTCAAGACCTCGCCTACAGGGTATTTAAAGGGCCTCCTAAGGAAAGGCTATGTGGTTTCCCCTCTTTCAGGAGACCACCCAGGAATGCTTCGCTCAGAATAAAACCAGGACTTTAATTGGGTTTGATTTGGCCTGTTCTGATTTATTGCATCGGTGGAGTTGCCCACTGCTGGGGGATAGTTTTACTGAGCACACTCTCCACTGTCTCTCCCTTTGAACTGCTGACTACCCATGGAGGAACAGGTTTGTATAGCTCCTGCAGGTTTAGCGCAGATGTGGGAATTCCTCACTTTAGTCTGCACTCCTACAGCGCCTAAGTATCTCAGAGCCTTCAGACAGGAATCAGAACATCTGAAGACCGTGATTCGCAGTGTGAAATACGAGAAAAGACACTAGGGGAGGCTCGTGGATGAGAGCTCCTTGGTCTACACAGAATCGCTCCAGCTGTAAAGGGATCATACGCTCAGATAATTTGTGCTGGGTAACCCCTTTAGTGCGTTTCAATGGTAGCAACTACGACACTGGCTGGCTTTCTCGTTTGTTTAAGCTACTCGCTATTCTTGCTTCTGGAAGTTTCCGTTTCAGGTCTAACATTGAGCTCTTTGATCAATTTGGAATTGATTTGTGTGCAGGGTGAGAGGGAAGGACCACATCTATTCTTCTACATTCAAATAGCCAGTCTTGCCCATACCGTTAAAGTCTTTCCCCCCAATGTGTATTTCTGGCACTTTTATCAAAAATCAGGTGGCTGCACTTAGATCTGGTTCCTAATTCTATTCCCTTGATAAATGTGTCTGTTTTTGTCCAAGGCACCATGCGGTTTTGCTACTAAGAGTCTGTGGTATTAAAATCAGGAATGGTGATATCTCCAGTAGCATTCTTAATATTCAAGACTGTTTGGCTCTCTGGGGTCTCTTGTGTGTGTGTCTCCATGTGAATTTAAGATTTTTTTTTCAATTTCTGTTTGGAATTGTGTTTAATTTTTGAGAGATTGCATTGAATTTGTAGACTGCTCTTGATAGGAAGCCGTTTTTCACAATATTGATCCTAACAATGCATGTTCATCGAGGTCTCTCCTTCCACGGGTGTCTTCAAATATGTCTCCAGTGTTTAGAAGTCTTCATTGTATAAGTCTTCCCACTTTGTTGGTTTGTTTTATGCCATGTGTTTTCTCGCTCCCTTCCCTTCCTCTCTCCCTGCCTTCGTGTGTGTTTGTGTGTGTGTATCGCATGTGCAAGCCTGTGTGTGTGTATCGCATGTGCAAGCATGTGTGTGTGTGTGTGTTTTGTTTTTAGGAAATAGAACTGTGTCCCTGATTTCTTTCTTAGTCTGTTTGTTTTGGTTTATGGGAAAGTTACTCATTTTTAGACATTAGTTAGTAACCTACCACTTTGGCTGAAGTGCTTACCAATTCCAGAAGTTTCCTGGTGTGGCACATGGGGTCTCTTATGCTTAGAATGATATCAGCTACACATAGGGAGACTTTGACTTCTCCTTTTCCTATGTGCATCCCTTTTATTTCTTTCTCAAGTCTCACTGTTCTAGCTGGGACTTCAAGGTTGACACTAAAGGAGTACAGAGTGAACGTCTTTGTCTTGTTCCTGATCTTAGTGGGAAAGCTCTCAGAGTTTAACTGAAATCACTCTATGCAGGGGATAAGAACCCACAGGCTGTCAAAGGAAAAAGCACAGATCATGATATGGCTGACTTTTCCCTGAGTTCTTGGTCAGAAGTTGTTCCAGAGACCCGCAAAACAATAAAGGCCATTGCTGTTACTCTTGGCTGCCCACAGGAACTTGATGGTAAGAACCTATTGCTAAAGATGGCACATGCTTTGGTCATGACCAGGAGACTTCCTCCCTGATGGCTAGCTCTCATAATACTGGAACAGTCTTACCCAGCTGTGAACTCTCAGGGCCACAATATTACTAGCATGATAAGATATGCTCATGGGTGCAGTAGAGGGATGGGTGTTATGATAGTAATCAACTGCCTTCTGATTGGATTTAAGACCCATTCCACATGAGGAAATTCATGCCAGGTATTGGCCAAGAATCCACTGTTAGGGAAATCATAGGCACCAGGGGTGGACCCGTTCTTAGTCTGCTAAATGGACACAGTACCAAAAGTCTCTCTAAAGTCAGATCTCTATACCCACTGACCAGCGCAGCTCTCAGACCTCATCAGAGACATTTATTTATGTAGTGGGGGATGTTAATGCAAAAACTCCCAACTGGCCCACAATGGAAAGTAAGTGTCTGTGCGTGCTCAGTCACAACTGGGGCATCTGCATCACATCCCCTATACCTGAGGACCAAAGACTATCAAGGAAGAGGAGGCAGGGAGATTGTAAAAGTCAGAGACCAGGGTGCTGGACATGAGTGTGCAAACTGGACTTGGTGGGATATATTATACATACATACATACATACATATATACATATATACATATGGACGCGGAGTTAGGAGGCGTTGAAGGTGGATCTGGGAGGAGGTAGCAGGAAGAGTGGGGATGAATATAAAAAAAACACGTATGCATGTATAAAATTCTCAAGGATTAATAAAAATATAGCTAGACAGAAAGCCAGACGGTAGGCAGGCTGTTTGTATCCTATAACCAGCCCCTTATTCGCTGGTACTTTAACCACCAAACCTTGTGCCTTCCTGGCTAGTCTCTCCTTGGCTTAGGTACTCCTGGATCCCAGTGGTCTAGAGACCTCAGCCCACACTGCCCCCCCCCCCCATCTTTAACGGGAACCCTGGCCAGTGCAACCACCATGCCGTCTGCCCAGGTCTTCCTAACCAGTCATTCCCTCTGACCACAACAAGAGCTATGATTTGCTTTTCCTTTCCCATTAAACACCAGCATGGAGAACAGAGAGCCCCTGTGTAGCCTTCGGTGTCCCCTGAGCCTAACTTCTTACCCGACAGGGAGCACCTGTCAACACTGGCACGTGCTGGCACAGGCTTGGCTGTGTCTTACTAGCTATGACAATCAGTTCCATATCTAATGCCTCTTCTAGCCCTCACTTCCTCCCACGTCCTAGAAGCCAGCACTCACTTTTCCTATTCACCTTGGTGTTTATGTTCTTGTTTTCTGATGATCAGTGTCAGATATTTTGTAGACTAGTCCTAATTTTGGTCTGTCAGGTATCAGCCTGAAGTTTTTTAATTGGGTAACACTGTTATTTATGGGGCGATGCTTTCAAGGCATCAGCCAGGACTGAGAGTGTTGGCGTGTCTCCTTTCTTCTGACATTAACCTCAACCACAACTGGGTAAGTCTGTTGGGATTTTTTTCCGGCAAAGTTACCATGTTGCCCTTTCCAGGGAACAAATATCGCAGGGGAGAGATTTTAGGGCTTCATGCCTCTTCTCCATTAAGTCAGTTAAAGCAACTGTAGGGCCTGCTTGTGGCACAAATGGTCGAGGACTCAATGTTGGCTTCAATTCTCTCATTACTATATGGAATTCTTCTTTAGGAAGCTATTTACATTTTCACAGTTTATGGGTTATTATTTTATTACTCATTCATTTATGCATTAATAGATATTCATTCATTCTGAGGGTTACAGAAAAACCACATATTTTCTGGCTCAGACTGCTCTAGAACAGCAGCTTGCTCCTTCAGTGTGGGCCAGTGCCTTCTGGTCTGCTCCCCTGTCGTGAACACACGGTCATCATGATCCACAGGCGACGGCAGTTTATCCTCCACTCTCTGCCTAGACCTGATTGAAGGATAGAACTGTCATTTCTTAATATGAATCTACTCATGTTTATCCTTTGCTTAAGAACCACCAACTGCCTTGTGTGGACTGTGAGATGGCTCAGAGGGCAAAGGTGCTTGCTGCCAACCCTGGAATACAGCAGAAGGAGATAACTGTTGCTGGTATTGTTGCTATTGCTGTGTGTGTGTGTGTGTGTGTGTGTGTGTGTATCTGGGTATGTACACACGTGACAAATAAATGAATAAATGAAAAGAAGTCTTCAAGCAGCACACCATAACTAAGAGCAAAAATGCTGATGTATCAAAGAGAGGCACATCCATGCCATCCCAATCTTCCTTAGTCATGCAACATGACAGAACTAACAGAACTAACACTAACAGTAATGACCTGGGTTATCAAGAAGACCACAAAAAGACTTCAGAACGCAGGAAAATGGGTTTGCATTTTAAAAATAAATATAGACACAATTTAAGCATGAAAGTCCTTGAAGTTTATATCTCAAGTTTTAATATAGAAGATAGGAATGGGAAAAATGTCACATAACTTCAAGTGTGCAAAAACCAAGACATCGGGCTAGAGAGATGGCTCAGTG